CAAGTAGTAAATTTTTTTTTTAAAAATCAGATTTTTCAAAAATTTTGAAAAATAAAAAAATGCTGGAAATTGTCTGAAAAGCACACAAAACCAAAAATTGTTATTAAAATCCCATCTACTTTATTACACAGATCTGCTTATTAAGATATCGCGTATGACATACTGTACTGGATTCATTCGAAATCTGAATTTTAAATTCTTATCCTGTTAAGTGGACTTGCAGTCACATGCCACTTGGCTCGGTAAAGCGTTGCACTGCAAGATACGCAATACAATACAACATGTATACCTAAGAGTAAAACAGCCTAACATGTAAGCTAAATAAAATCTTACCTTCTCACAGGCAACAGATCGAAGAATTTTATAACGCTTACACACAAAGACCAGAATGCACACATGTCACGATGTTGTAAATGTTCCAGAATACCACGTGGCTTGGCAACAGCTGACTTCACAGGATATCGGTTAGTAATATCTGTGATCAACAGCAATTTATCCTTCACAGAATTAATATTGAAAGAACTTTTCTGTGAACGATATAAAGGTGTCTCCACGTATGTTGGCAAATTACGCGTTGTTATTTGTTTGTACTTGTATACGATATAAAGATGTGACATCAATATATTTGACTTATACTATCACATAGTTCGAATTAATAATCTGTGTTCTACAATGCCTCAAGAATTCCACGTTCTGCGGTGTTATTTTTGCCAAACATTTCAGGTACATTTCCATTACAATTATTTGATGTTTCTATTTCCTGTTAATGAAATTTCGTTGATTCACTTTAAATATGTTTTGTCAGTCTTAAAAGTACTACATATGTATGTGCAAATTCGCCTCCTCGAAAGTATAAAGTTTGCCAGCGTTTCGGCAGGCATTGCAATTTTCATCTTCAAGGCCAATGTAAAATGGCTAGGAGTTTTAGGAAGCCTTTCTATAATAGTTAATTGGTAGCAAGTGGGATGAGATGGATCTGATTGGAAGAACACTTGCTACCTGCTGTATAAGGCCTTGAAGAACTCCCAAACACTACACATTCACCCAGAAGATGGCAACTGGAACTTTTGCCTAAACGGAAAATTTTAAATATTCAGTATGATTCATTCCAAAAAGCAAAGTTATGCAATGAACTCTGCATGAAAACCGAATGACATGTATTGTGTAATATATATTATTATACATTCCTTGGATTTAAAAGTTAGTCAGAATGGTAGTATGGTGTGGAATAAGTCTTAAACATATATAACAAAAGTAAATAAAAATATAAAGGTTTCACACAGTGTATTCAAATATTATACTAAATCCATACAAGCCTACAGTCGATATGTTACACTATATAAAGAGAAGAAAACCTTTATAAATATTTTAGTACTTTTTAAACATTAGGAATTCAGATGTTGACTGTTGAAAATTTTGGTTTCATAAGAGTGTGGACCATTGTAGAAACATGAAAGTTTGGCAGGTGCTCTACGAAGATGATCCCTACATTGTGTACAGCTAAATTTGTCTGAAAATGTTTTGTTATGTGCAATGAAGTGCATTAATGAAAATATGTATTCACATGGAAGAGGTATATCTATAATCTTTTAAAGACTTCTACTTGAATTAGATATATCACCAGCTATAATCCTAACCATTTACTGTTAGATGAATTACACCAAAAATGTATTCCATATTTCATTATATAGTGAAACTAGGCAAAATTAATTAATTTCAGTATCTGCATTGCTGACATGAATCATCAGTCTAATTGCATAACACTCTTCACTTAAATGAGGGCCCATTTGATCAATATGAATATTTCATTTTAAATGGTTTCACTTTTTAAATTTTTAATTTACTGACTCTTCTATATACTTTTCATCATAACTAATACTTATTGCATACTGTGGTTAACATTTTGAAATCTTGTTTCTATGACATGTTAAAACTATAACAACTGAATTTTTTAAAGAATTCGCAAGACAATGAGAATATGATTGTGTAATTAATAGTAACAGAAGAAAGTAATTGTTGTATTTCCTTCAGATTATTATAGGTTGTATTCTTTACAGATTCACATTGTGAAGAAGAGCAGCAAGTGGGAATGCAAAATGTGTGGTAAGAAGCAGTCCATAAAAAAGGTACTGTCCTCTATTCATTCCAAGTGGAACTGTATGACTAGGTGAATGACTTCTAACTTTTCAATATGGACAGCTGTAGTTAAATATATGGCCCTTGTGGTTATTTTAAGGTATATGGTAGAGGCAGTGGGAAAGACTGTCGTCTCCATGTTCAGTGCCTAAATGAGATGCGCATGAAACAAAAAGCACTAGGGGGCCAGATATCTCCATTTCAGAAAGAATCATGTGAATCTTATGCTGTAGAGGAAAAAGTGAGATATAATGGTAAGTTTGTGTGCATCATAGTCTGAATTAGTATGTAGTTCTGGTTCATTTAAAATACTTTTTTAATAGTTGTACAACTTTTATAACTGAACCTGGAAACCTGCATTTGCCAAGAAGTTCTTCTTGCCCCAGTTATATGGAATAAATACCAACATGTAAATGTTAATGCAAAAATGGTCATTAAAAAACAAAAACTTGATAAAAAATGTCTGCTTTAATATTTGTTGTTTTGTTCCCATTAATTTCTGTCATACTGTACTTCCTATAATTCTGAGAAGATATAGTGATTTTACACATTTAAGACTTAAACTCGAATGTCAATAAAATATGAGTAGAATATTTCAATGAAATAAATAGAAGCTCAATTTGTATGCTGCTTCAGTGTACATACACAGCATTGAATGTCAGATGTGTGATTTGGGTCATTAATACATGGGTACTATGCTGTGCAATATTTTTATTTATATATGCCTGTCTTAAATATTAGAAAAATGTTCAGGTCACTTGGGATTCTATTGTAAACAGATTTTACTGTATTACATTCTTGCAAGGATTTAATGTCACACATTGTCATTACAAAGGTTTATATTCATACTCACATTTCTTTATTTTGTAGCTGGTGGTGAATCTCATTTCTCAAACTCAAGCTGCAGCAAATGGAATAAATTTTTTGATGAACAAGGTCTGGAAGAAATAGATGATGCAGTTACTTGTTCTTCTGTGATTTCAGCATCACAGTTAATTACTGAAACACCAAGAAATACGCATAAAACTGTAACCAAAGAGGAAAGTGAAATTGAAAAACAAACATTTCAGTTACCTCTTTTAAATTCATCTGAGCAAGAGACTGCTTTTTATGATGGTAGCAATAAACTGTTTCATACTAACATGGACACTGTCTCTTTCCATTGGAATATGGAAAACTGTTTCCTGTCTCATGAACAACGTGAGCCAGATGAATTGCATAGAAAGGAGTATGTTGGAAATCCATCCTTGGAAGAGCAGCAGGGAAACAACACAGACTCCACTGATAGAAATAATGGATTAGTGCAGCAGTTACACACAAACAGAAATACATACCCAGCACTACAACATGTACCAATGCACTGTAATAATGTAAATATTTCTACAAAATCACAGAAAGTTCTCTATCCCAAATTTTCGCTTTTGGGAGACAGTGAAGATGATTTAGATAACATTCTTAGTTTTTGACTGTAAAGTGTAAAGTAGCATGTGAACAGAATTCATTGGATAATAAACATGTCATTGTCAGTTTGAAGCAAATGATGTACTGTAGTTTTCATGGAGGGGAGATAAAAATTACAGGAATTGGTACATTTTTGATACTAACAAAACACAAATTTTAATCTAGTATCAGGTATTCATAAAAAGTTATGTATTCATATCTATATACTTTTTTCTCTTTTTAATTTTTCATTATCATCACTATAGTAAGAGTGCAAAATGTTAAAATATGCTAACAATATTGTAGAATTATGTTACAAGAGAAAACTGGAGCTAAAACTTTAGGTTTGAATCCCAGCACTATAAGAAGTGATTGTAGTAGAATGTTATTACTTTAGTGTTCTTGTGGCATTATGACTTAGTTAAATGAATTCTGTACATGTTGAAGTACTTTATGGTAGCACAAAATGTAAATGTTTATAAAATATTTTTTCTGCTTGTATAATTAAAGTTGTAACAAAATTCTGTACATATATAAAGCTCTTTCTTTAAGGTGGCATACAACAGTATGTCATACTGGCACCTTTTTCCATAGAACACAAACGTATAAATAAAATAACACAAGCATATAAATAAATTTGTTAATAAAGTTAGGAAATAACAGAGACTGAAAGAAGGACAGACAATTTAAATTCTGGATACAATGGTAATACTTTATGTTGAAGATCGTGAAAAGTATTCACTCTTGCTTTATGCCATATGTTTATGTATAAAGGACCAAAATAGAAATGTTGCACCAATTTAGGATATTTTCCAAATGTGTTCTTTGTGATTTAATATGCCTCACTGCCCTTCATTGTTTATGCATGACTTGTGGTATAATTGGAATTTTTTTTGCATTACTAAATGTATGTTCTCACTGATTTAAAGCTTCTATAGGATATCTCCATCATATAGCCTGAACTTCTTCCTTCAAAAGTCCTCTTTACCTTTTGATTGCTGTATTTTATCACCATTTATTCGATGTAATAATATTTAAATCTTGAATGGATACTATACACATACCATTTTAACTGTCATTGTTATCTGAATAAAACTTACGATCAAACTCAATCACTATTTAACATAACTAAGTGTTTTCTTAAACAGAAGAAACATATGAGTATTAACAGTCAGATCTCTTCCAGTGCACATACAATTATATTGTTTCAAGCTAACCACATTACCTAAAGTCAAGACATGTATCAAATCAAAGTTGTAATATCCATTTTTGAGAGAACTTAATTTTAATTTGACCAGTACAAACCAAAATTTAATTTGTTAAGACATTTTGAAATCGTGGCTGGTATGCAGAAACCTAAGTAATACATAAAAAGTAACTAATTTCAGGGGTTTATAATCATTAAGGTAAAACATTTATTTACTACTATATTTATGAAAGATTACAAATCCCAGTTTACTGACCATCCCATAATCAATGGGATCTCTTTCTCATTGTTATGAGTGGGTGAGAGACTTTATCGTAACTGCAGCCACTAATGGGACAATTGACCTCCCCAAGATCATACTGGGAATGACCCGTTCTTCAAGTGCCTGAGCACTGCGGGTCCCAACTTTTTTTTTTCGTTGGCTTGATCTATGGACATTCGGTAGGACTCCTTGGACGCGGGATCAGCCCGTCGCAAGGCCTCTACCTGTACATAGGACAGCACAACACAGAAAAACGCTGATAAACATCCATGGATTGAGTGGGATTAGAACCCACGGTCCCAGCGACCAAGCTGCACAAGGCCCACGCCTCAGATGCGTGGCCACTGCAGAACCCTCCCCAAGATCATACATGTATGAATATGGAGCAGTGGTGGAATAATATTTATGGACAAAAACTGAAGACTCAGAGAAGCCTGTCCCATGCCACTTTGTCCATCACAAATCCTACTAGGCTGCCATGCTGGTGACTAATTTCCTGAACTATGGCACAGCCATCATAATTGGGTTAGTCTTGTATGTCTACTGCTAGGAAGAAATTGTATTTAGTAACCTCAGATGGTAGATATATCAGGTACAGAACATCAATATACATGATGCTGGCAGTTTATACATTTTTTCACTGTCTATAAAATTGATCTTGTTTGACTTCTATCACACAGAAACAGGGGGTTTAAACCCCCTTACTGCAGGACTGCCAACTGGATTTTAACTCTGGAGTTAACAGTTTAGCAGTAACCTCCTGCAATGCACTGCCAGCTGGAGCATGCATAAGCCACAATGCATGGCTAATAAAAAAATCATTGGTGAAGGTTAGGGAAAAACATTTGTAACAATTCTATGAAAATTCAATATGGATATAACTACAAGACTAAATGTAATTGCAGTTTATATTTTAAAGTATAAATAATAACTTAATATTGAGTCTTTACAACAAATAAAATACTTTACAAAACTGCCATGTATTTGTTGAAAGAATAGTACATCCTCAATGCAGATATGTGAATTTGTCCAAGTAGATATGTAAACAAGATGAACTGGTAGGTACAACACAAATACTCCCTACAATAGGCAGACTTACAATATTCAGAGTCTAATCACATTTTTTCACATAAATTGTCTTTACAGGTTTATGAACATTTTCATCAGGGCTGGAAAATTCCCAGTGACCTCTTTCCCCATAAAATATAATGCTGGTACCTAAAATATCAAGTGCACATGGTAGAATACAACACTATTTTTTTTAAATATGTTTCTCAAATTTGGCTTTTAACAGACATGGGAGATGTTGAAATATATATGTATAAAATTCAGTTCTATGTATGAATAAAACTCATTAATACCCAAAAACAAAGTTTGGAATGTTTTTATAGTGCATAACTTTGTGCAGTAACTTAGCTCTCAATATAGATTATTTATCTAATGATTCTGTATGTAATGTGCAGTTCAAATGCACTTGATACTCTTTGGCTGCCATCTGGGAGTACAGACCACTACTTCAGGCAAGTACCATGAATTCACCATCAAAATGGGAACAGAAATGTGTGCAGTGCCTTATAAGTGTAGCAAGTTCTGATAACTCTGTAACTGGCTCCTCAAATGTTACTGAATTTGTCCACCTTAGTTTGCATTCAACAAAGAAATAGGCAAAAAAGTGTACAAAAATAGGAAATTCAGGGCCAGAGCAGTAATAAGAAGTTGGTTCAAGAACATATAATGGTATGAAATAGGATTGGATATCACATTTTTATCTGCACTTGGGTGTCTCTGGTACATTGTTATTACAGTGCATTACTAGACAGTTTTTCTTTCTTCCTTTCAATTTTGTATGCCCAGCATTAGCATAACACAGGACTAGATTTTCACTTAATTCATAACGGAGCTCAGACTTCTGAGTAATTTTTATGTAAGGAGAGCCTGCTTGCATAAACAGCTGCCAAATTTGCATCACTATATTATAATTAAATGTCCCCAGTTGTATTTCATGTACTAAAACATACCGTAAGAAACAAACTCACTACATATGAGATCTTGCTTGAAAGGTTGATAGTCACACAGGTAGTCAAGAAACCGTCAACTTTTATAGAACCTTAAGACTTGTTATGAAGTTCACAGAATCTGGCCATTCAACCCTACCATGAGCAAGCTGAGTATGATCCATCCCCTGACAACCTGTTTTTCTAAGAATTATTTAATATTATCCTAGATACATTAATGTCTTTCAGTTGGGGACGTTACGTCTAATCTGTCAGCTACAATTTTATATATATTAATATTTATAATGCCAGGAAGGGAATTTGAATGAACTGATCTGATACTGTCAGGATACAGTAAAATTAAATGGCATGGCAAAGAGTTAAAAGGCATGCTATCAGGTCTTGTAAACATACATAATGGTCAATAAGGTAAGACTACCTGAAAAAAAAATTAGGGTCACATAGAAGTTCTTTTGGCTTTCATTATGCCAAGGAACCAGACTGATTATTAGGACACAATAGGTTATGAAGGCATAACCTCATGAAGTAAAGTTATGCAATTATTATGTTATGATTTAACACTATCGCTGCAAAGAATGTTGCTCCAAGGTTGGCGGTGATGTAGGACTGCCTGATGGAAGAAAAGTATTGCAAGAAAGTTTCAGAGTTTATCAAACAGCCATAGTGCTTATATGTAATCTACTAAAAAGTTGTAATGATAAATATACAATATCTCTGGAAGCATAAAAACTTACATGCTAAAGAATAAGTCTTAAATTACAGTTACATTGAACATAGAGATGTGACTGTGGTTATAACTGGAACTGTATGTGTATGAAACGTTGACATTTCTTCATAATATTGTCTAAGATATGACCCTGTCCTGTGCAACTAATAAAAACTATTAATATTGAAATTAATTTTTCTGTCACTTAACTGGATTATGGGATTATGCCATTCATTTTGCTGTATAACATTCAACACACTCACAAATACTTTTATACTTCTGAATATGTGCTCTTTATCATTCATTTATTTTAATTTATAATAAATATAAGCAGAGAAGTCAGAGCAGTTGCCAAATAATAAGTATATAAACAGCTGTTATATTTTGCCTGTTAAATATCATATATAATAATAAATCTCAATGTTGGATGACATTCTGTAATATAGTCTGAGCTTTTGATAACATCAGTAAATAAACTACAAATACAAATGCACAATACAGATTAGAAAAATGTGAAAAAAATGGAGATTGATATTTATCTTAAACTTTGGCTGTAACAGTAATTCAAGAATTTATGACTTGGACTCATCAAGAATATGGCATGGATGTCAACAAAAGAAGGTAAATTCTACATGACAATTATTTGTCACTGAGAAAGGAGTCAAGTATTGCATCACAAAACTGAGTACATACCTTGCTTTCTCAAACATACAACACTATTAGTATCAAAGCCCACTACAGGACATGACTTGGAGCCAGCTGCATTGAGTTCACATCCTCACAACCAATTTCCCTAAGATCTGTTATAAGAGTATCCTCCTCCATTCCACTTCACTGTTTGTTGTCTAAACAATCTTTTGCCTAGAGACTTTCCCTATTTTCTATGCCATTACCCCATCCACATTGCATGTTCAACTGATGATAATATCCTTCATTTTTCTATCTGAACTTGCATATTTCTGACAGTGAAGCCTACACAGGGTATGAGTCAAGAGCCCAAGCATGGAATGTGAAAACTAAAAGAATGGAGTGTTTTTGACACATCACATAACTGTGATTCTGATATCAATGAAAAACAGTAACTTGGAACTTAATTATACAATGAAATTAGGAAAGTAGTACGTACTTGCTTTTTATGAGAGCTTTAAATTTGGTGAAAGTAGGTTAGGAATTACTAAAATCTGTTCAATATATGTCATGATTTAGAAGTCATAAATATCATGTTTATTTCAGTAAAATAATCGTCAAATTCAAAATTAATTCTGATGATAGAAAATTAAGTAATTATTTTTTACAGTACAATTTATTTTGCTTAAATGAACATTAAATTGTCACTATTGTCCCTTTTTGGCTTGGACTTCATTTAGGAATAACTTAACCTTTTATGGATAATGAATACTCTCATACATATGATGTTGTTCCTAAAGTTTACATCTTAAAAACCTAATTTAAATTTTGAGAGTCAACTTGTTTGGATTGGGATGATATATTCATACCTAATTGGTAAATATATGAACTAAAAAGAAAGTTTCCAGTGACTGGCATCTGCAAAAACAGATTGTCTTAATATGTGAATTTCAAAATGCCAGTTTGGTTTGGATCTGATCTTGACATATCATATATCCTACCTCTAATTTCATATAGTGTGTCAGCATAAAAACTTGGTAAATTGACTTTGTATGAAAGATGTGTGAATGAATTGCATAGATGATTTTAAGTGATTGAGTATTTCCATAAAGAGGTGTCATTACAATTCCAACTGCATCTTCAATCAGAAGTTATCATTAGATATGTATTATATAGATTAGATTATAAGGTGTTTATAAGTATCAAAGCTAGGATTCACATGCCAAGACAGAAGGATCCTTACTGAAGTTTCTCAGGTACATTTCACAGTATGGATAAAATATCATTCAAGTAGCTAATAATATTAAAAACTTGTTGTGGATTTTGGTTTTATGGAACATTCATAAATTTAGTTTTATCTGCATTTAATGTTAGACTGCTTTTTCTTTCTGACCTGCAGGAGAATTTCTGTGTTATTCTTTACAGTATTTATGTTCTTTCCTGACATATTAACATTATGTGCACAAACAAGTACCTGATTGAGGACATCAAATCCAGACCTTCCTGATTCACTTGTACTCTCCTGGTGGCATATTTTAGAGCAGAATTAAGAAGCAGTAGGGATAAAGCATCCTCTTGTTTAGCCTACTGTGATCTGGAAACACATCAGATGTTTAACTATATAAATTCTGCCAGACACCTATAGCATACATATTTTAAATAACCTATTCTTATTCAGTAAAAATTCTGTGATCATGGCATGTGTATTTTCTGTGGTAATTGTTCAAGATTTCAAATTTAGTGTTGACAGTTATGTAGTTATGTCCACTATTCCATGCTATTAGTAAACACCCTGACCCAACATTTTTCTAGTGTTTGGGTGATTACTGTGCACGCAACACATTAGATACTATTTGTTCATTAAAACACTGATTGATAGCCTAATGAAAAGCAGAACTTAAATAAGTTAAACAATACAAATTATGGGAAATCAGAACAAACATTGTCATAAGTTAAGTTTTGAGTAGTAAGTTACTTTTGGAGGTATAAATTTGTAAATTGTAGGAGACATCAGAAACATTTTTCAGAGGAAGGAAGAGGGAAACTAATGAAACATCAATGTGCTATGTATACAACTACATAACAACTATTTTGATACTTGAGGAGCAGTGTGATAAAGCACTGACCTTACTACACTGTCCATGATGACTCTTCTACACTTACACCCAACAGATAAAAATGAAGGAATCTAGAACTTCACAGGAGTACATTTTTATCAATTTTATAAACATAACTGGTACACATCCTGCACCTTGTGTAAGCAGCTAGTTTTCTAATATTATTTCTCTATCTCTAAACTTTTTCACATTCCTGAAGTACATTTCTCCCAGACTGTTGAAAGTAAAAAGTGGTGTAGTTGAATTTCAAAGGCAGAATGAGTTAACACTTAGAAGCGTGAATCTCATCTTAATAATATTTAAAACCGTAATTCCTACCTCAGAGCAAACACAATGCATCTCCATTACAAAAATCAACTGGTCACATGCTGTTTACAGAAATAATCACTGATTATCCTGAAAATCATACAAAACCAACAAATACAATCTGTGGCCAAAATGCAGAGTTACTGACAGGTGATATATGTGCTTTAGAAGGTTTTACTGTACAGGGGATCTTTCCTTCTATCACTCCAAAGCAATTACTAGGGATTCCAGATATGTCTCATAATAAATATTTTATTCATTTTAAAAAATGGCAGATTTTTCATAGAAAACAATCACCTGTCTGGTCTTTTGAAGCATACAGGAGCAAAGCAACAAATGCCTCATAAATAAGAAGCAATAACTTAAACACAGGCAGTGAGAGCATACTAGTTTGCAGAAAGTATTTTGTGAAATTATTCTGTACATCATGTTAGATTAACAAGAACTTTTTAAGGACCATAAGGCCAGATTTCTTGGGAGGAAAAAATTAGGTAAACAGTGCAGTTATAATAAACCTCCTCAAAGTATCTGAAGACTGAGGCCATGTTATTGGCTTACCACATAACAGAGTTACTATAACCCTAACAATAAGTATCGAGACCATAACTTGAATTTAAAGAAAATGTACATTCTTTACTTGGAAAAATGCAAAGAACATGATTCCAGTAAATGAACCAATTTACAGAAAGTATTTCCAAAATAAAACCTCCACTTTCATTTCTCAATAAAATATTACCAAATATGTGACTCATTGAAGTTAAAAATGTATTCAGATGAGGAAGGTGCCAAGGAGGCAAGGTGAAATTTGAAGATGAACTTCAACTCAGAAAGGCAAGGAAAGTAAAAACAGGCATGAATGAAGGTGCTGTAACCACATCAATGACATTTCATGAAAGACATTCATTCTGCTATAATCTTGCATAGACATGTAAAATATGGGATGAAAACCAAGTCTCGTGAGAAGTGACCAAGATGTCAAAAATAATACTAATTCTAAAGCAACTGTAAATCAAGAAGACCTGTCATAAAACCAAAAAGAAGTGAAATGTTTCTAAAATAACATATTCATCAGTTACTTTTGACAGCTAAAGAAGTAATACAAACAAAGTAACAACTTCTTAAGACGGTTTACACAAACACTTCTGCAACAAAAAACTGCAGGTTACTGGCTTACACCACTTTTTCTCTCAGCAGCACAAATGTAACACGGAGATGTACATGATCTTTACATCTCCGACATGAGATATCGTCTCTGTTACATTATTGTGTACTGGAAAGTATTACAATACTGAAAATACATTTACATCCAGATTGGTTGTTATAATAAAATGATTACGACTGACAGTCCATCATTAAAGTAATACACATTATGCAGTCGAAGCTTTGGGAGCAACATTATGCTTTGTTTCAGTCTATGTTTTCAGTAGGGATAATATGATCATAACAAATTCCACTTGAAAAGCTTTGCTGTGCCTCTAAAAATATCAGACTTCATGGTGACCACAAATGTAAATAGGGTTTCTAATGCATTTTAAGAAGACCTCTGCTTAGTGTAAGGTACTGATGTCATAAGCTACAGTTAATCCTGAAACAAGGTTGATTAATAGCTTCCAGTAACTTGTTTTCACACCGACAGCAGTCAGATGGTATGTCTGGGTGTGCTGTGTGATGCTCTACTGTTACTAACAATATTGAGATTATAGCTGCCACGACTGCTAAAGTGTCTACTACTGCTGCTGGTACTGCTGCTGGAAGTACTGTCGGAAGCGTCGTCTACGTTGACGCCACTGATTTGGCCATGCTTTACGCCTCCTCCAAGGTCTGTAAGGAAATAAATAATATCTACTACATTAGATAAACTTATTCTTAAACAAAAGAATAACTAAACAGATTAAAACAAAAAATAAACAGTCACATTAAATATATGACCAACATCATGGCTGCCTGAATTTCTCAGACGGGAGTGACATTAGCACCACTTAATTGTAAGGTCCTGAAATTCGTATGATAATAGAGCTTGAAGAAATATTAAACTTTTGTTATTTCTTAGGAGGGAGGTTTGATGTAAGAAAACAGCATGACACTCACACAATATATCTGTTTGTAATTTTCCATTTAGCAATGACAATTAATGATAGACTAAAGCTAGGCTTGTGAAATACTGAATGGCGATCATAAATAAAAGTAAGAAATCTCTATGAAACATAGGTAATGCTACAAATTAAAAACAAAGTGATGGTGTGAAAGTCTGAGATTATTATACCTGACAAGTTTAATGTAGTCTGAATCTGAACTAGTAAACATTGTGCACAAATGTATCTACAACTTTTTAAATTATTAATTGATAGTTCCTGTTAGTTTCCTACAGAGACTGAAGCATTTGAAGAAAGGTAGCATCATAAGTCTTCTCAGAACTTCTTTTTTTCTATCATTAATCACAGAATTCAAAAATGAACTTTACCTGTCATCCACTATGCTCTTAACAATCAGTTCTTCAGAGATTAATCTGCACAATCTAGATAACATTTCATAGAGGTGAGATGGGGTTTTACAGGAACTGGATGCAAAGGAACTCTGCCATAGCAACAAATAGCCATAAATCTGATCCAACATATAATAAATAATTAGTAATGTACACAAACTACAATGCAATTTAATAAGATGATTTAAAAATTGAAACACCCAGCAATAAAGCAGAAAACTGTATTGATATCATGGTTATGTAAGGAAATATGATTAAAACTTCCTACTGATGCTTCCTTCATACTGCTAAGAATAAGATGTGAATCCCATCACCATGGTACTTGAATTCATACATGTTAAGATACAATGATGCTAAAATTGAAAGCATAACAAAGCGACTGCAACCAAATATGAACAAAGCACAGATACTCACTTTGGCAGTTTCTTCCGTTTTTTGTTTGTTGGTGGCAAAAGGTGTGATTGGCTCACTAGATGCATGGCTGAGGAAGGACTGTAGAGGCCTGCATCTATGAGGGCAGCCACAAAGCGATTGAGCGAAGAAGACAGATAGATACAGAGGAAGAAAAAACACAGGAAATATGTAAGTTAGTTGTTAGAGCATAATTAGTGCCAAGACACAAAAGGCACTGAGAAAATAATTATACAAAGTTAAATCAAGATATAAATTGCAGGGCCAGTTGAGCACAATTAATAGTGTTTGAAAGAATAACATTTTGCTTGTCTAAAGATGTACTTTTCTTGAATTGTTATGAAATATGTTTACCATTTTCTGTACAATGAACCAACAATAATAAATGCCACTAAATATTATTATTGACATAATAGCAAACTGAAAGGTTTATCAGCTGGTCAATAAATTCATTATTAAAAGCCACCACTCACCAGATGAATCATAACTTCATAGCTTATTTTTTTAAGATCCACCTACACTTACGTCTTCCAAGTGTCTCATAATTAAAATTAATTTTGGATTGCATTTACGTCTATCATATGTCCACAAAATTAATAAGACAACTTGACCTTTGTTTACTAGCCCTATAAAGTGAAAAATTTTAAGTTAAACTGTCTACAGATACACCTTCTACAATTTTCAACCAAAATTATAGAAAAATAGAATGAAAACACAAAATTTCACTTTATTCTTACTGCACTTCACATGACATGTTTACTTGCATAACAGCAATGACAATCTATAGATATCTGAAAAAAAGTCACTTTCAAGAATTTCTTGATTGTCGAATGACTCATCAACTTCTCCAGGAGGACTCTGCTCCAAGGAGTTAATTAACTGCTTAGGCATGTGAACGTGAGGCCAACAGTCAAGCTAGTCGACTTTGGCTCTCTGGAGCTGTTACGCCACGGATTTAATTTAATTTAACTCCTTCAGAGAACTCTTGTTTGCCTCTCCAAGCATAAGAACCATATGTTAAATGCTGAACCTAACAAGCCAAGATCAATTAAATGATGATACGTAACAGTTAGTGATCCATTTTTGTATATAACTTGCTGTGGTACAGATACCTACTACAGCAATTTTACCATAAATAATCTCAGAGTTTTCACACAGTCACCATTAATTGCACAATTATTGTTAGCATCTTAAAAAAATATTAAACATTTTATAACTTGCTGTGGCTGTGTTTCCAAGTACCACCAAAATTTGATACAAATTATACCATGATGTCAACCATTTCACAGCAAGACAAACATTACGAACAAATATGTATTACTAATGTTTTGCTCATAAATGAAGCAAAGCAGTGACTTCCTCCATCTGTGATATCAGAATCAGTTGACATCTATGACTTATTGCACTTTAATCAATCCAAAAATTGTATTTATCTGGTCACATATACCAAAAATATGAAATAAGATCTTTCAGGGAGATATAGAATCTCTAAAATGATATAGACTCAATGAATATTAACTTATTGGAGGATTATTTTTATATAAAGATTAATTTCTTGGCTACTTCTGTATCTTAATTTTTATATATATTTCTGTCTCTTGCAGTGCATAGTAAAAGGAAACTGAAATACATACCTGCCATCATGTGTCATCCAACTTTCAGAAAAGACTAGTGCTCTTATGACAAAAGTGTTGCAACATACAGCAAACAGTGCACACTGCTTAGGTACATTAAAGAACACAGACTGAGCACATGGCCAATACACAGTTATTTTTTTAAACCAGGCTCTATAATCTTATTATTAGTTTGAGGTTGGTCTTAGATTTTCTCTTCCAAGAAGACATGAATGTAACTTACATTTAAATCTACTGCAGAGACATTGTACATTTTACATAAACTGAAGCTTTCAAAATTCCTGTAGGTCAGCAGTTTCACCTGCAACCTAACTTATACTTTTCTCAAGTTTTCCTATTTATTTTAATGGAGGTAAATATGTTCTCATCCATTTGTCATTCTTCCCTTCTTATCTACTTATACACTGTATAAAACTCTTGTCATTAGCAATTCCCATCACCATGATAGCTAAGGAAAACTAAACCTGCTAACAGACTTTCAGAGCATGCTAGACTGCATGAGTGATAATCATTATATCAAAGGACACTGTTGTGTTTAATATGCCAAGAAATGGTAATTTTAAGACAAGTTAGGAAATCTATATGTTATATAACAATTCTGGTGGGTTTGAAGAATTCTACCTCTGTGAATGATGCCAGTGGTATCTGGGGCCAATGATCTTTACTAAATTCCACGTAAACTCCAAATGTCCCAACATTAGTGTCCTAATTATGAGTCTCTGACTATTTGCAGGGCAATATTTCTTAACTGATGTCCTTGGCTTATTATAAAAAACATGTTTAAATTTGGAACGGTCAGGTTGTTGGCCTAACGCACCCTAGCCTGGAGGTGGGGTGGCTTATAGCTGTTTTATATTTTACTGCAGGTTAAATATGCATGATCTTACAGCCATATTACATCAGGCATTGCAATGTTAATATTTCACAATACTTGTATCTCAACATATTCAATGGTCAGAATCTAATGAAATACTCTCCTGTTACACTTGAAGCACTACATAGCAGGAAATTAAACAATAACATATGAATCAGACAAAAGAAGTTCATGAGAGGATTATGATTAAGATGGACATATGAGTCTTCTTATCACTTTCATTTTGCTTATGGGTATACGCATGAATTGGGTATGTCATGAAGTGATTACGATTTCCATACGAAGTGTAAATCCTAACTGTATCAAAAGCACAAGTATCTTCTAAGTACTGGAAAAAAAGACTGTAAATTTCATAGTTTTCATGAAAATTATATTTATAGAAAATAAAGTGCAGGCAAGAGCCGGTGCAGTGGCCATGCGGTCTGAGGCATGGATCTTGTGCGCCTGGCCACTGCAACCATGGGTTTGAGACCCACTCAAGACATGGATGTTTGTCTGCGTCTCTCTGTGTTTGTATAGGTAGAAGCCTTGCAGATAGGGCTGATCACTCATGCAAGGAGTTCTACTAATGTCCAAAAAATAGATTAATCATAAAAACCTCCAAGAGAGGTAAAAAACAGATCCTGCGAATGCGGGACAAATGCAAATGAAGAAAATGAAAGTGCAGGCAAAACTTATATGACCTTAGCAAAAACAGCTCGCTTTGGATATGACTTTCAGATGTTAGAAAATTATGCGATTTCACTTAGTTAAATCTATTCATACATTCAGATAAAACTACAAACAGACCAGAAATATTTACTGTTTAAGAAATATATTTTTATTTATAATATTTAACCTAATGAAAAACCAATCCACATGCAATTTCCAAGAGATCAACAGGCAATGCCAAAGCCATGCTGTCCTACATATCTGACACAGAAGTCTCCACGTACTTAACTCAGTGCTAACTTTCTAGTAGTAAACTTACTTGAAGAGGAATATTTCCGCTTTTTGTAGCGGATGCCACCAACACTACTTATTGAGGCAGTGTTTTCCATGTTGGAGATGGGTGCAGTGTTTGAATTTATGTGTATCTGGTCAGCAGATGAAGCTGCAATCCCCACGGTACACTGCTTGGTGCCACGACAGGCTTTCAATTGTGCCAACTGATCTCGCAGATATGAACGTTCTCCATCTGTCAGTGCATGCACACGGTTCCATTGCTCAAATGGATCTATGAAAAAGAAAGTGGATAAGCTTGATGGATCTATTTTAATGGGATTCTCTATCTGATTCACAGTTTAAAATTTCACTAATTCTCTCAACAGTTATAAGACTATTGCAAATAGTTGGAGGAATAGGCTGTAGCAGGGATAAGAGAACACTGACACCATTGCCAAAGTTTGTCTTTAACTGAGATTGTGGATGGTAGCAATTACAGGTTTTCTTCTTTGGATTAAAGTCTGAAGCAACTTCATAATTCATTAGTTCACAATGTCACAATTTCTTTTGTAAGAAACATTTCTTCTGCTACTTTAGTTTATTCGATGTGAAATAACAAAAGCATAGTTACCCAGATAAGAAAGCTAGAAGAAAATAACATAGTACCTTCTTTTCAATACCACTTACTACCAATTATGTTTATCACTTAAGAAGCCATCTGACATGGAAGAGCATCATTTGCACTGCTCTCATAGCTACAGGCAAATCAAGAATTGAATAACTGTGTAAAAATGTACAGAAGCAGTACTAAAGCAACAAAAATAGCTGGCAATCGTTGTTATTGGTAACTTTGGATGTAAATTTGGCACCAGATAGGAGAAAGGTTGACCATCCCCATAGCACTATAGCTACAATTGTTTATTAACCTTACAGTGCTAAAACAGTTTAAAAAAATAACCTTCTATTTGGAAGGTTCTGTTTCATCCGCTAGGAAATAAGGAGTGAGGTTTCTTATAATTCTACAATTACAACTAACAAAAGCAATCTTGGTGAGATTTCACAAACATTTTCAGTAAAACACTGCAGTCTTTATTTCATGTATTTTATGTAGCTGCGGCTAGAGCAAATATTAATTTGATAATTTAATTTCATAACCAGAACAATGAAAGAATACAGAATCTGAAATTAGTTTCACTCTATAATCAAATAAAATACATAAGAAAGAAAAGATGCCCATTCTAATCAAAACAAATTTAGAGCATATACAGGTTCAGTTTAATCAACTTTTGTTAGGTATAAATATGCATGCATATTTATCAAATGCTTCAATGAATGAAAGAAAATTATACATGCAGATTATGCATTATCTTACCAATTCGGAGATTATAAAATGTGACGAGACCTGTGACAAACTCACAGTAGAGGAAGTTATGAGTTGCATTGATGGTCCTGAGACATGAGTATGTGTTGTTGTTAGCATTCATACAAAAGCAGAAGGGACCCTCTGGAAGAGATACAATCTTTAAGAACTTTAGATATAATTCAGAATTTTTGACGCAGACTTTAATTTAGACATATCATTGGTTGTACTATACATAAACATCTAAATCATGAACAATGACTAACTTTATAACTATTACATTTATGTAAATATACTTGTCATATTTTCAATTATCAATATGTGAATCATCCAGGAGAAGAGATATAAGCTGGGTGGAAGAATATGAAAAGTTAAGTTTCAGTATCATAACAGGAACTTCCATGGTACAAAGTACTGATGTACCCAGTAAGAGAAATGGGAATTTACAAAAAAAAACATCTTCCAGTAGGGATAATGGTCACGTGCTAATCCATTCCTGTTCCATGTCAGTAACAGATTCAAAGTAACAGACACAGAAAATACTCCCCACCACTAATAGACATATATTTTTATTTCTCAAAGATTCTACAATTATCTTAAAATGTTTATTGTGGCTTGGATATCTGATGGAGAACAAGCAGACTATTTTGACAACTGAATTACGATGTTTCATCGCTGTGTGATTTGGAAGATACCTTCTAAAAGCAAAGATAAAGATGTATGCTCAATCTATAACATATCTGTTGAACTAAGTGGTCAAGTTCTCAAATGCCATTCATTAAAGAACATGGAATGTTATGCTCCTATTACTTGCACTGATAATGTGGCAATTCAGAAACACTATGCAATATGTAGAAAATTAGGTATTTACAGTTTTAGTGAAAATAAAGTATACACGCAAAAGTGTTTCTTTGAGCAGCCAAGGGTTTAACAATATAAAGTCACATATATCAACAATTTTTATAAGAATATTTTTTTAAGTATTTACTGTCTCAAAATGTGGTATGTGGTTTTCAAGTAAATATTACAATTACACATTCATTGTTTCGTTGCTATTACCTGTCCACAAAGGTGCTGTCTTCCAGTGATCATTATCATGATTAAAACAATTCATTTTTTCTGCCAGACATTCTTTCTCTAATTTTGCTTTTTTCTTGAGCTTCCGTTCCTTCTTCTTCAGTCTTTCTTCTTTAATTCTTCGACGGGCTTCTTTTGCAATTTCCTTTTCCTCATGCCTTGACAGACTGAAATTTATGAATGATATGCATGGAATTATTTTACGCACATACCAAGTGATGAGATCAGTATGTAGACTGGAAAGATCTTACCTCTAAGAAACAAGTAACAATCCTGTACAGACTGCTAAATAAAACACTACTATTTTCTAATTCTTACTTACTTTTCAAGTACATTTCACTGTTCTGTTGTAATTTCAGTAATTATGATTGTAGTAGTTATGGGGAAATATCATTGTTGTGGTGATTATGGAAGTGGTAGTTGTGGCAGTAGCAATGAGAGGGATGGTGTTCATGATATGGACACAAAAATTATTGTGGTTAATGAGAAGACAATAACAAATCACTGATGATAAAGATGTTGATAGTTGATATGTGATGGATTTGTGAAGTAATCTTGACTACAGTAAACCTCTGTAAATCCCTCTAACATAACACCATAAATTTTAGAAGAAGAAGAAGAAGAATCAATATCTCTGTTATTTTGTTATGTACTACATCACATATAGAGAAAACATACTGTACTGATTTTAATTACTGATGGCAAAGCTTATATTCAATTTCTTTTGCGTCGTTTCTATGGGATATTATGCTTAGACAATAACATATTGTTTCCCATCTACAAAATTTCTGGTGTACTTGGTGTATTATGTGGTCACTTCCATTACACAAAACAGTGTTTGTGAAACAAAATTGAATTTTCAGCTTGTTCTGTTGCTTGCAATGGTTCTGCGCCAACTCAACAACAATATTTGAAGTGTGAAAATATCAGAAATGGACAGTTTTGGTGATGATGAATAAAACACCCAAAGTTTCCATTATATACCCAAAGGCACAGTAGGGGACATCTAATTTTACTCCTACTGTTCTAATCAGTGGCCAAGGATTACATGATTTATTGTTATGACTTAATTGCCTGGCTGAGGTACTCACATATCAGGTTCACAGTAACAAGTGTGCTGGCCTTGACCTTCAGGAAGAAAGATCTGCTTGTTGCTATTACCGCTACTGGTGCTGCTATTGATATTGTTTACATTCTGGATTCCATACCCAGGCCTCTGAGGATGATATACTGTTACATCAATACGACTGGGACCTAAACCACCAAGCTGATTCCAAGAATAACAAAGTATAAAATTTTCTTACAAGTATGTAAGTATATACAGCTGTAAAATAACAATTTAACGTTTAAATAATTTAATAGCCTTATAATGACATAAATAATAAATGAATGGTATACAGACTACTGGATATTATCTAAAAAAATATTTTGATGAATTTAAGCATAGACCAAATTTCACAGAAATTCATCCAGTGGTTTGAGAAATCATACATATGTACTGATAAATACACCCTTCTCCACTATACACTCAAATTTTATGCACCATGTGCAGAAAGCATTTAAACATGAGCTCACCTTGTTTTCATTGTTTGCAGTTGGTTTTGGTAATTTAACTCTATGTTGTGAAATTGGCTTTGATGTAAGATTCAGCATAACAGAGCTTTCTGTTGTAGGCCCTTCATGGATGTTTAAATCCAGATATCCCAAAGTAACTTCAATGGCAGAGTCCACATTTACTGATTGATCAGTCGTCAGATTTGTAGGATGGCTGATGTCAGGTCTAGAAGTTGGAGAGAAGTGATGGTGCCGATGGTGAAATCTTGAATGTTCAGTGGTTACTAATGTACTAACCTGAGAACCTTCAGTGTCATATTCATCAAACAGTGTTTCATCAAACTTCTTCTCACCTGGTGTGTTTTGTGTGACATTTTCTTCTGTTGATACAGTGACTGTTGCATGTTCTTTGGCTTTCTTCTTTCCTCTATGATGATTTCCCTTATGATCATTTCTATTGTGTTGATCTTGCGAGTGTTTTGTCTGGTTTTCAAAGTGTCTCATTTCTTCTTCAATATTTTTGGTTTCTGTTACTGTTTCCACACCTATTTCCTGATTGTGTTGTACTTTTCTAATGTTTGTTATATTAGAATTTTCTATTCCTTCTTTGTCATCTACATCTACTTCTTCCTCTTTCTCTTCTTCTTTTTCTTCTTCTAATAATTCTTCTGTTCCATCATTACCATCTTCATCTGCATCTTCAAGACTAGCATCATATGAAGTAGTATCTAGTGGCCGTTTCTGACGAAGATGGCGCCTAATTTCCTGAACATAACAAATTATGAATGATTTGATTTAAAATTTGAAAACTGCACCTCAAGAGTTAAAGCCATTTTTTGGCTTTTCAATAGTATAAATTATATATTACAATGGGAGTAATGTAACAAAAGTAGAGTTTTAACCTTTACCATACAGAAATAGGAGATATAATGCCAGCCAGGGTCAGGAGTTTAGTAGCATGTTACAGAACTGCGCAGCTAACTGTTCCACACATAAATCATGATACACAACTGAAGAGGGTTAAATATAACAGCACAGAAAGAGTTAATTATACATGTTTCGGTGGAAGTAGGTCCCTGATGCAGAATATTATGATCATTAATTACCTTTAGTGCTTCTACTTGAGCCAGAAGCTTGCGGATTGCTCCATCAATATTGTTCTTAGAGGTTCTCCATGTTGGTAGATCTTTATACACTGCAGCACTACAATTTACATTACGAGTTGGTGTCACTAAACAGCCTGCAAGCTGAATCATGTTCTCTGCACTGGAGATGTTAGAGTTAGAATCTTCAGCAGCTTGAGAGACCTGTCATATTAGAATGCCATCTTTATATTCTAAAAATGATAAGTGAATAGAGAAATTCATGAAAATTAATTTCCAGCTAATGATGATTTAACTTATATTTAATTGTTACATTATTTTATTTTAATGGTTCCATAACATAGGGACATTATCTTTCTTTACTGTTACATACGAATTATTTCTGCTGTGCAGGGTAGCAAAATGTTTGTAATGTAAAACACTGTTCACCTGGATGTACAGTTTGCTGGTAATAAGTTCACATTGCAAAAAATTCAGCTGTATACAATGAAGGAACTTAACAAATTCATGTTTTAAATACTAATGTAGACGTAAGCAGTATACGAGGTGCGATCGAAAGGTTTCAAGACTGCGCGTATAAAAACCCGTACACTTATCTCAGGTATTAAATTCATCCATCACCCTCGAAGTAGTTCCCCTGGGAGTGAACACA